TACTGAAGCCATGGAAAACTGCTAATTACTGATAATACGTCTTCAACTTCAGTCAAAATAGTTGCTTGGAAACTGGATCAAATGTTCCTCTCCAAGAATACTTCCACCTTTTTGGAATTTTTATAAGTTCCTTCAGTACGTTGAACCGTCGATTTCGGTCTTGTATAACATTATATATATATGTTTGTATATAATATATATATATATTATATATATATATATATATATATATATATATATATATATATATATATATATATATATATATATATATATATATATATATATATATATATATATATATATATATATATATATATATATATATATATATATATATATATATATATATATATATATATATATATATATATATATATATATATATATATATATATATGTATATATATATAGTATATATAATATATATTATTATATTATATATTATATAATTAAATACTAAAATAAAAAATATAATATATATATATATATATATATATATATATATATATATATATATATATATATATATATATATATATATATAATATATATATAATATATATATATCTATATATATATATATATATATATATATATATATATATATATATATATATACTAAATATATATACTATATATATATATATATTATATATATATATATATATATATATATATATATATATATTAATATATATATATATATATATAATATATAATATATGTCATGAATGTAAATAAACATGTATGTGATGATATGTATGTTAGATATTTGCACGTGTATATAGAAAAAGAAAAAGATGCATATGTTTATTTATATGTGCATATAAATATATATGTGGGTTTTTGCTTATCTATGTATAATGCTCCGCTTTCAGTAATGAAGAAGGAATAGAACAGCAGATGATTTAGATTAAAAGTAACCTAAGCTAACGTTATTTCTACTGTATCGTTGAACAGTTTAAGAGAATCTTAGACAATATCTGATTTCGATTCAATGAATGTGGAGCCTCATTTAGTTTCATATTTCAACACAAAATGTATGAAAAAATATTCGGCTTTCAGTTCGGCGAAACAAAAGTGAGATAAACTTAGGTGCATTCACATTATGAATTATGTAAATTCCATCAAGTGACTCCATTAATAATTCGAAAGAGGTGAGGGATATGCGCAACCCACACAGTTATGAAAGGTGTTTACTAAACAATCATCTATAATAGAGAAGTTAGTCCTGTAATGTAGTAGCAGGAGAAAAAAACTTGTCCTCGTATGACCTTTCTCTGCATCGAAGCGGCGGTATATAATGTGTGCTGCTGAGCGAACGGCATCAGATCCTTCTGAAACTACCAGTCAACATGAACGCTAAGGTAGATAGCCAGTGAATCTTTTTCTTATTCTTATTCTTTTTTCATGGTAACTGCGTTTTATGCATGAGATTTTACTCTACATTGCTAAAAACCTGTCTTCTGTAGAATTTCAGTAAAGGAATAGATTGATATTATTACAAAACGAAAGGAAAACAGAGTAAACCAATTTCATTCTCTCCGTTTTCTTTTGCACAGGTCCTGCTTCTGGTGTGTCTTGCAGCTGTTGTTGCTGCAGACAGCTTTGTAAGTACTTATCTGGTTAGTTTACAAAGTCAAATAATCGATAACATTTCTGCATTCGTTGTATGAATTGCGTAGTCACAAATATTCTCAAATGTCTTTGTTTTCCAGGAATCTGCTGAATCAGGCGAATACAACTTCAACTGGGCCGTCAAACACGACGACTCCGGCAACGACTTCGGACACCAGGAAGCCCGCAATGGAGACAACACTCAGGGATCCTACTACGTGCAGCTCCCCGACGGCCGCCTGCAGACCGTGAGGTACGTCGTGGACGGCGACGACGGCTACGTGGCTGAGGTCAACTACGAGGGCGAGGCTCGCTACCCCGACTCCAATGAATCAAAGTGAAGAGATTTTATTGGCCACTACATGAAATGAAGCGACCAGGAACACATCCCACAATAGTCTGCCTAATGTTAATTACAACTTACATTATATGTCCAGCTCAAAGCTAAAATGATTTGTCGACTGGATTGTTAATGTAATTCCCACCAGTCTTTCCATTTTCTGCTTAGGTGCTCTAGGAGAGAACCTTTAGCTGTAAAAATGCCTTTTATTGTTTATATTATTGCTTTCCAATAAACTATCTCCGTATCAACAAGTTATATTTATATATTCAGTACACTCACACAGGCTTCCGGGCACGTAAAGGATCAGGTACTCTCCCTCCCTACTCAGGGCGAATCTTTAGCATTGTGAAAGGCGACGCAAAATCCATATGAGAATGAAAACAGTTTTACTGATATTAGAAATGATATTTTGAAAAAAAAAATGACGTGCATGATATATCTTACAAATGGGCGTAAATAACTAAATGTTTACCTTAAATTTCTTTCTAAAACTGCAAAAACAACTTACTAAGGATAACAAGTTAATATATTTACTTAAA